TAATGCACAAAAGGGCTACCCAGATAGGAAGCTTGTTGATGTTAGATTCTCCCATTAGACAAGAAAATAGTCTATTATGTTGAAACTTTATGGGTAAATGGTCAGCCTTATAGTACCATGCACCAATTTTTAAAAATTGTAACCAGTTATATATATTTATTACTAAAAATTTAGATGACAAAATTCCCTTTATTGCGAATTTCTGAAAACTAAAAACCCTGTGATCTACTCTATTACCTTCTCACCAAACTACCCCCAGATTCTCTTTACATTTTTTCCAGTTACTGTATTTCATTTCAGACTTGAGACTTGTAAAGCACACAGATGACTTGAGAGTCTTTGGTGCTTCTTTGGATCAAATAAAGACATAAAACTATAAGGAAGTCACTTGCAAATGGTCAGTCTGCACACAACCATGAAGATAACTGGTGGCAAATTAAGAAGAGCCCCCAGCACCAGAAAAAAAAAGAACCAAAATAGAACAGAGAACTCAATCACAGGTTATTCAAATTGATTGCTCTGCAGTCTAATCTCAGAGCAGCTATCACACCTGCTGCCACCGTTATCCGCAGTCAGGGGCAGTGTACGGCTTAGGTTTCAATGGACTCTGTCCTGTTTATTTCCTATCTAACTATCCTCAGAGGGATCCGAGCCATGACACAGCAGGAGATGCAGGTGCGTTTGAACGGCACCCTTCTTTCTTTGTCCTGATCTCCAGTAAGGCCAGTGCTTCATAGTTGACTTTCAATCTGGAAATTGTTTTCAGCTTTGCTGTAGGATCTCTCTGCAATGCCTCTTCCGGGCCTGTGCTGATATTCCAATGGAGGGGAAAGAAGCTTGTTCCATGTACCAGTTTTTAGCTTCAGATTTCACTGGACAGTTCCACAGCTACTGACTGGTGTAAAAGCAGACCTAGGCTTAGCTCGGGTGCATCCCAGGAAAGAGAGGAGAATGGGAATGTGAGATAGAACCCTGCTGCGACTGTTGAATCACACATCATTACATTCTGCCTTATGTGAGCTGAGGCAAACATGGGAAGAGGTTGCCTAAGCTGAATACTAAACTGAATGTTCCTATTCAGCTTAAAGAAACAGAATGGAATGGTGATGTCAGCCTGTAATCCCAGCTCTAGGGAGGCTGGGGCAGAAGGATTTCCCTGAGTTCTAGTCAAGCCTGGGCTTTCTGGTTGGTCCTCCTTGAAAAGAAGAGGGAGGAGGAGAAAGGAAAAAGAAGAGGAGGAAAAGGAAGAAGAGGGACAGAGAGACAGAGAACAAGTCTACCAGGCAGGACATTTTCTCTCTTGATACAGGAGCATCATTTAGAAAGAGCTCTACATAAAGTTTCCATATGAGGCTTTACGACCACATTTCACTGTCACTGTTTGGTGCAGGGTCTTCCTGAAACATATTTATCCTGCTTTTAAAAAAAAATGTTACATGCCGGGCGGTGGTGGCGCACGCCTTTAATCCCAGCACTTGGGAGGCAGAGGCAGGCGGATCTCTGTGAGTTCGAGGCTAGCCTGGTCTACAAGAGCTAATTCCAGGACAGGAACCAAAAAGCTATGGAGAAACCCTGTCTCGAAAAAAATTCAAAAAAAAAAATGTTACAGAGTTGGAGAGACGACTCGCTAGTTAGGAGCATTTACTGCTCTTGCAGAAAATACATATTCAGTCCCAGCTTTCATATTAGGTAGCTCACAATAGCCTATAGCTCCAGCCGCAGGGTATCTGATACCCCTGGCCTTCACATGCACCTGCTTGCATACAATGCATATAAACTCACACTGGCAAATGCAAACACATAAATACAAAATAAATCATTTAAAAACACACAGAGCCTCTCTCTCTCCCTCTCTCTCTCTCTCTCTCTCTCTCTCTCTCTCTCTCTCTCTCTCTTTATATGATGAGCCATCTCACCAGCCCTAATCCTGCTTTTTAAGAATACCAAAAGCATGGATGCTATAGAAAGAATTCTAAAGGCCAAGTCCCATACTTACTTGTGCTAGTATTGGTACCTAATGGGATGTCAGTACTAGAGCAGAAAGGATGGTTGTGGTCATTGGCCATATGGACACATGCCAATCAGAGATCCCGGTCTGGTACTGAAATTGGTTTTATCACTTTGCCACTCCTGGGCACCACCAGGGTCTTGTGCCAAGACAGTGGGACTTATCAGGGTGCCTGTTGTGTGTGAGGCTCCTGTGCCCACCGTAAGGAGTTGGAATGCCTCTGTACCCCTATCACTGACTGCTACCTTTCCCAGTGTATGACAGCAGGCCCTCTCTGTTCCCCACAGCCTGGCCCAGTGTTGACCGGGAGCTTCCCCTTCTGGAAGTCACTCCCCTGAGTCAGTCCTGAGTGCTGTTCCATCAAGAGCTATTTCCAGTAAACTGATCTTGCCAACCTCCATGCCATCCAAATCAGAGATCCTTTTACTTATTTCTGCTTCATAGATTTTCAAGCATGAGGTGCACGGGGCAGATGTGGCTTTCATCTGCTTATGTGGTTTTGATATTTTTGGTTGAAATATTCCCTATCCCTGAGCATTAGAGATATGTTCCTTCCAGGCCAGGTTTGGATTTTTGAGGTGGCGTTCTCATTCTGTATTGCAGACTGGCCTGAGGTTCACTGGGTAGCTCCAGTGGTCTTGAACTCAAAACAATATTGAACCCATGTCAATCTTCTGAGTACTGGGATTATAGGTGTGAGCTTCCATGCCTATCTCTGTCAAGATTTTTACACTTTAGAGCGCTATTATATCATACTTGTGTCCTGAGAAATTCCATCAAGTTCCCACTGTGTTACTCAAACTGTCAGGCTCCTGGGCCTTCCCAGGAGCCACAGCTCAGTCCTTTATGACTTTGCCATGCATTTGAATACATCTGAAAAGCTAAGCATTCAGTGCCTGTACCTTGGGCTTGTGCCTTTCTGTATACCCCTAGAAATCCTCAGAAGGACAGTACTTGCCAATATCAGCTGTCTTTGTGGCTTGGCATACTGGTTTGCTGTGTCTGAGGTTAAGGAAGTGAGCTCTCAACTCATCCAGTCTGCTGTCTGATGGCCGAGTGTCCCGAGCAATGTTCATGGATATTCTCAGCCTGAGCTTTCCCAGCTGCCCAGTGGGTAAACAGTACCGCCTCATCAGTAGCCTGGTAGAACAGTACCTGCACTCACCAGCCTGGTGATGGAGGTGGCTTGCAGGATTGCCTGCTGTTGGAGGCAATTGTGTAGCTGTCATGCACCCACCTGTTATCTCCTGAGAGACTACAGTCCTGATTTTCCTTCACCCTGGTCCTGTGGCTGCTGGTCCTTCCATTCCCCACTATCAGTAGCTCCGTATCTGTGCCGGTTCCTTCCTCATGTGTCTTCCTCTCCCCTTTCTTCCCCTTTTACCTCAGCTCTTCCCATCTCATACCCAGCCTGCTGCTTTACCAGCTTACACCTCCCCAAATCTAGTACAGTTTCACGCCCCCATGCCATCCCTCTCGATCCTGTATCCACACACAGCACACAGCATGCTTAGCTGAACCAGCACTCACTTTTTCTCTAAAACAGATCCAGCATGGCTTTGCCTCTCCTTTGAGCCTCAACCTTTGCCTTCCTCAGTTGCCCTGTCCCAGTCTATGTCATACATATAGGGTCTGGTCCTTGTCACTCTAAGCTCAGTGTGTGTATATACTTTATTGTATTTACAGAGGTCTTCCTCCATAATACTTGAAATCAACAGTAGCTGCATCACAGATGATCCTACGGTGACAATGCCCAGTTTACATCACAACAACAACAACAAATCATTTAGTGCCCAGCAAGAGTCTGAGCTCATGAGAGGCCTACACCCATTTCTTCAAACATGAAGGATTACCATGCCTGCAATCCAAGCCTATCCTACAGGCCTTGCAATCCTAAAAGACCTTTAGTTAGAATTGTTTGAGTTATACAGACCCTGTTTTCTGAGGACCCAACCGTAGGGGTGATGAATATGGGCTAAAGACTAAGTGGCTACTAGGGATGACACAGTGTCCCAGAGATCTGTCAATCTGGACGTCACTGGACCACGCCTACTGAGTGCAGTCTGGTCTCTGCCTATGACTCTGAAGCCTGGGACAAGAGGAAAATCTTCTCCTGTGGGTCAGGTTGTCCTGGGTCCAGCAGTTTCCCTGGGAAATTCTGAGAACAGAGATGGCTGCTCTGTATATATAACACAGGCCTTGATTTGAGCAAAATGATACTACTCAAACACCATTGATTTATGATTAGTCGTAAGGTTAGTATCCATAAACACTGGGTATAAATAATGTTACATTGACCCTTTCCCCCATTATTGTATATTTTAAGGTTTGACAGACAATCTACAAAGTAACCTGTGCTGTCAGACTAGCAAAGGCTAGAGGAGGTCCTAACACAAATCACAGGGTACTAGAATCAAACACAGATGTGGCTATACTGATATTTACATTAAACTGTAAGGTTTTTAAGACCATATATTGAGGGGAAAAAATGAATGTTAGGGATCTACAATCTTAATAAATTAAGAAAAGATACTGCATACACTAAATCCAAATTTATTAGCAAGATTGAATTTAAGCCAAGGGCATTGGCATTTGTTCTATTATTTCATTATAAAAAAATCTGATTTTAAAATTCCATATTTTGCTGATGGCATTTTAGGGTGTTTCTACTTATTCAAGTTTTGTTTTCCAAATTCATTTTTAATAAATACAGACCAGTAAACAGTTTTGATTATTGTTTTAAATGCCTGTAATTTGAAATATATTTTATTATAACTTTCCATTTGGAGATGGAGGACCCAACATTCAGATCATAGCAATAGCCACTTTTTCCAGATGATAGATCCACTTAAAGACTCTCGTGAGTTGGCAAGGCAGGCGTCAGATCATCATGGTAACTTCTTACCAGAATCCATCCTGACTTTCCCGATGACACATAATTAAAATGAAACAGAATGGAGGCCATTCAGGTATTCCCCTTGTGTCTTCGCAGGATATTCCCCGAGTCTCTCCGATGGCTAATGGCTACCCAGCAGTTTGAGTCAGCAAAGAAGTTGATCCTGTACATCACACAGAAGAACTGTGTGAGCCCTGAGAGTGACATCAAGGGAGTGATGCCGGGTAAGTACGCTGCAGCTGACCAGGGTGCCTGAGGGCTGATCTTGTCCAGAATACCTGTCCTGGCTAGTGTTGGCTCTGTGTTCCTGTGCCCACATGGTTTGCAAAGGTTTGGAACAACAGCAGTGGCTGCTGAAGTCTGAGAGTGAAAATCAACTGAATTCTCTCCACTCTAGGAGCGAGTTTCCTTCATAATCAGGTGAACACACTCACCACGTCCCTTAAAGCCCATACAAAACCAGAAGCTGGGTGTGAGTTGGATGTGTTCCCTATCTTTATCAGGCAGGCGTATTCAGCTCTGTGATACCCAGCACCTCCTTTCATGACAACCTACCATGTTTAAAGCCTTGGCTCCAGGCGTGGATGGTGTTAAGTGACCTCTCTGCTTGAGTACGCTCTTCCAAGGGCTGCCACTGTCTATTCATGGCCATGACCTATTTGTTGGTCAAGGGAAGAAATGGAAACATGAACTATTTTTGTAGTGTGGTTCAGATCCATAGAATTCTTGTGAATCAGGGCATCAGCATAAGCTAAGTGGGGCTTTCAAGCTGGGAGTCTGTAAATGTTACCAGGAAGTTCTTCACAGCCAGGTTCCTGGCTCCTCCCTGTCATATCAAGATACTGACTTAGAAGATCTGAAAGAAGCCCCAGGAATGCGCACTTGTAGTGAGCTCTAGAAGACACTCTAATGCAAGGGACCTAAAAGGTCCCTTTGGAAAATGGAAGCTTTGAGCCACCAGGCTAACATGAAAACCTGTATGCTTTGTAAAATCCCCTAGGAAAGTACTATGCAGTGGGGGGGAGGGGAGAATATGACTAGACTTTCCCAATGACTAGAATCATGTGACGACCATTCGTTCAGAACGCAGACATTTATTAAGCATCTGATGGCACACCTCACTAGCTCACACAGATGGGATACATACATGGGGGGGGGGGTCTTTGATGTACACTCAGTTGAGAGGTCAAACACTAAAGCAGAAGAATAGAGGGTGGTGACAAGTGGCTGCCATCCAAGTGCCAAGGTTAAGCCTGGCTTTGAGACACAGGTGAGCGGGAACCCGTGCCAGACAAGAGAATGTACCCTGCAGGTCCCCGTTTCCAATGGGGAGGGGAGTGTGAGCAACCTGGATTGTAAGAGCTGTTAGCACCCTTACTGGACTCCCATTCAGAAGATCTGCAGGCTCAGCAAGGGTGGCATGCCTATCTTGACTCTTGCCTAGGACACAAAGGCTGGGTCACAACCACTTAGTGGGTGAGATGTGGTCTGCCAAAGCCCTTCAACTCAGGCAGGAACAGTCAGGCAAACCAAAAGCTCTGAATTCCCTGGAGTGAAGGATGCAAGCCATGGCTGGTCTGCTTGACGAGTACTGAATGCTGGCTCTTTAGAGGGGCATCTGAGGCCCCCTTTCTCAGGAGCAGTGACAGTAAAGAAGACATGAGGCCTATGTGCCAGTCCCCTTCCAAGGGACTGATTAACATTGAGATCAGCTGATTCTTAAGGTTCCACCCTCCATGTGGCATGCCCATGAACCTGTTTCTTCACGGCAACACATTTACAAGGGATACTGTGATGTTCCCTGTTTACCAATGAGAAGCCATGGCACTGAGAGGACTGGGTTATCTTGCCAAAGGTCGGTTGGCTATTAAATGGTTGAGTGGGATTTGAACCCCACAAGTCCAGCCGAAGTGGCTTTCCTGTGCTGCTGAGAAGAGGGTGACCATGGAGACATATAGGAAAAAGTGCAATTAAGGAACCCTTGGGCCAGGCCTGCTTGGTTTAGACAATCTCATGGCTTCCTGCAAATTCCTGTCCTCAAGTCTCACTGCACATCTGTCTCTGGCCTTTTAATTAAATCATCACACCCCACTTCTTTCAGGTTAAAATGTTATCTGGAAAACACTTGTTTTCTCAATCCTAATTACACTGACTCATGTCCCTATTTTTGGAAAGTGGTATTAGCTCTCCTCTCCCCCTATCCTTTGCTTATAAGTTTAGTTGGGGCTTATCTCTCTTCTGTGTCTCAGGCAGGGGGCCAAGTGAGAGGTGATTTGTCCCCTTTGGTGACTAACAAAGAGGAGAAAGCTTTCGCTCTTCACCAGGACGTGTCATCGTTATTGTGGTCACTGTGGGATGCGAATTCACCCTGGTTCTCTATCCCCACCCCCATCAGATGCAGTCAGACAATAGAATGCAAAACTGTCCAGCACTTGGGGGAAGAGTCTGTATTCTCTGGGACACTAACTTTCTTAGCTCAGAACAGCTTCTCCACTTATAATCATCTTCCCAGCGCCTCACATAGTTCCCGTCAAGCTTGGGGCTCTTCCCTACCTGATTTTCATGTATACTCACTGCTCTGGCTGCCACTCTGTTCTCCCTCCGTCAGCAGCTCAGGAACAATACAATCACATCATCACTACCCCCAGGATCCTCAGGGTGTAGCCCCATATCTTACATGTAGATTTAGAGACCCTACCTAATCTTTACCTCCCCCAGGCCTCTGTTCTGTGTCCAGCTCCCATGTTCTTCTTCCCATAGGCCCCCAGCTCAGGAAAGTCCCACCCTCTCAGACCCATCTTCCCATCCTCAAGGCTAGGTCCTCAAGCCCAGATCAGCCATCATACTGTACACAACCTCCACCGCTGTCTCAGCTGTAAACAGGAGTTTGTCAACATTACCCCTACCCCAGAGAGCGTCCGCTGCAGAGCCCAGGCTGTACCCCAACACCAAAGGAGATCCATGGATAGCTGCATTCCTTGAATATTCATGATATACAGGAATCCAGGGCTCTGGAGCCAAGAAGAAGCAGGGCTGTTCCTCAGGGTGCCTCTGTGCAGAGAAGAGTCTTCAGCTGGAATGTAACAATGAGGGAGGAACCTCATGCCCTGTTAGTGCATGCCAGTCTTGGGCTTATGCTAAAAGAAAACCTGATCTCCCCAGATTTCCCATTTCTATTCTTTTAAAGCTGTCTTGAGTTTTTATGTGAGCATAAGTGGTGGTCTTGGCAACATGTACTGCTGAATTAGACATTTGTGTGTGCTCCCAAAAGTCAGTCTCACAGTATCATGATATGCCCAAGTGTGATAGCTCGCCTTCCCTGCCTGATTCAAGATTTTGACCAATTACAGCAAGAGTAAAGCCTGCTGTTTCTTGCTGTTTCTATGTTGCCTGTATCCCACAAAAGAAGAAGAAGAAGAAGAAGAAGAAGAAGAAGAAGAAGAAGAAGAAGAAGAAGAAGAAGAAGGCCGACTAACCGTGTATCAGAGTCCTGCATAGTTATTACTTGCTTTCAGTAATTCTGAGGCCGGCAAGGAAACCTAGGCAGAGATAGGGAGGCCCAAGAAGATCTGAGAACATTTCATCCTTTTCGGGGCCTCATAAGGAAGGATGCTTCAACTCTCTGTATTTTACAGGTAGACAGTGGGAACTAGAGAGGCTGAATGTTGGGGAGCCAGTGAGATCCCATTCCCAATGTACTCCCTGGGAAGTTGCTCCATGAAGGATCACACAGTGGAGGGAGAGCATATATATGCATGGCTTTTTCTTCCCCATGGGGAGAGAGACATACAGGGAGCAAGAGTCATTTGACCTCTTGTTCAGAGCCCTCTGCGGGCAGCCTCATGGGAAAGCAATCCAAAGGTATCCACTCTCACTCCTGGGGAGGCTGCCCAGGCTATGCTTCCACTGTCTTCCTTATCTGCTGCTCTTGGGAAGATACAGAGGGACCAGAACCTCTTCACTGCCTTCTGCATCCAGAGCTCAGAGCTTGCACATCAGCCCTGTCATAACCTCAGGGCATAGCACGAGCCAGGACTGCCCTCCATTGGTGCCTAAAACCATGGATAACTTTAGACAGGCTTGGTTTTCCCTATAACTGCATATCTACGATAACATTTAATTTATAAATTAGGTACAGGAAGAGATTAACAAATAATAACAAAACTAGAACAATTATTACAATCTAATTTATGAGTTTCTCATTTCTGGAATTCCCCGTTTGATATTTTCAGACTGGAGTTAGCCTTAGGGAGCTGAGACCTCCATGACTGTGGGCAGATCTTCCAAGGAGGTTAAGAAGAAACACAGAGATGAGCTTCTTCCCAGGCTGGGGGACCCTCACTGCTCCCAGACCCCATGCCCTGACCACAGGGGTCAAAAAATGTGGAGCAGGAATAGACACAACTGGCATCCCAACATTGTCTGCCTGTGTCTCAGTTTGAAATTCTCTGACAGCGCTGAGCTAAGAAGGTTGAGGCTCTCTGCTCTGAGCTCCTGCCCTGAGCAGCAACCCAGGGCTGCTGCCTTATCAACTGCTCCGCACCTGTTTGCTTTTGTTTCCTAATGGAAGAAGCTTGGGCTAGAGAGACAAGAAGCTCCTTGTTTCCAGTGACCTAACAGGGTCTCAGTAGGTAGCTAATGCTTCCTACAATTTAGAATACAGGGTATGAAAAGTGTAAAGCTCAATAAAAATCAATTTAAAAAAAAAGAATTACATGGGTTTCAACCCAGAAGAAAACACTTGAAGCTGCAGAAGTTTGATGTTGTTGATGATGGGCCAATGGTATGAGTAACAGAGACCCTGACAAAACATCAATAGTGCTGGAGAAGTTAATTTAATTCCCTCTAGAATAATGCAATTGCCACTGTAGACTACAGTCAATTCTTAGACTGGGCTCTAGGCTTTAATGCTATTTAAACAAAACAGAACAAAGCCCTCGGGTCATAATACAATTGCTATAGCTTCTTTGACATACTATTTCATCCACAATAATGTAGTAGCAGCTGCGTATGGACCACTTTTGAGGAAGAAACAACTTTAAACTCGCATAAACATGCTAACGGATGTTTGAGTTTTCCTCTTGGAAGACTGCTGAGAAAGGGTGCCTATGACAGCTGACTTCTGACGAGTGTGTGACGGTGAAAGTACCCAGATTGCTGGATCTGAGGATGTCTACCAGACATGTTTCCAAGCTCTTTAATAAACACAGTCCTGCACTATGCAACAGAGTGTCTGTCACCGGAGGCCCCCACACAGCTACAGTCCCTAGAACTTCCACAGAGTGGACCATTTTATGAGCATTGTAGCTGTGGTAGAGTGAGGTGCATTTCCTCATGCTTGTGGTGGTCTTCTGTGCACGGTTGCACTGCCAGCTCTCTAGAACAAATATTGATGATCATTGTAAACCCAGATACACAGAGAGGGTAATCTATGCCTCCAGGCCTGGAAATCTTCCTCTGTCCCTATTTCCACAGACAGTTTTAAAATTGAAGTGCTTTGTTTTGGAACTATTTCACATATATTGGTAAGTTGAGACAGTGCAGAACTCGTCTCCAGACTCAGTTTCCTCTGTTGCTTAGGTCTGATGTTTCCATAGCACATTTGTCAGAACTAGGAAACTGGACATAAGTCTACACGGTTGGTAGTCAAGTGCCAGCCTCTACCCGACGCTGGCTTCCCTATCACTGGCCCTGCATGCCCCAGGGTCCTGTCCCAGGTGCAGTTAGTTGCTTTCAGTAATGGTGAGGCTGGCAAGGAAACCTGGGGCAGAGACAGGGAGGCCCAAGGAGATCTGAGAACATTTCATCCTTTTCTGGATCTCACAAGGAAGGATGCTTCAACTCTCTGTATTTTACGGGTGGTACAGTGGGAGCTAGAGAGGCTGTGTGTTGGGGAGCCATCACCTGGCCACTGTCTTCTCTGGTCTTCTGGATTCCTCAATCTTTCCTTGTTTTCATGTCCTTGACAGTTTTAATGCCACTGGCTCCTTGTGGACCTGGGAAACATCCCTGCTGTTTTCTAAGCAGTGGATGACTCCCAAGGACATTCCTGCTAGAAAGCAGAAGGGCCCAGAAGGCTCTCAAGTAATAACCACTCAGCTCTTACCCCTTGAAGCATTTCCTATCTTCTGCTCTTCCCCCATTAGATTGACAGACAAGCCCCAGGACTTGAGCAAATTTCCAGCTAGGTTGGGGGGGACACTGTTAGTCAGAGCTAGGATAAGCCTCATCAGAACCTCCGTGCCATAGCTTCAAACTCCGTCACATCTCTAAGCCTAACCTCTTGCAGCAGGGCCACTTGCTGAGTGCTCCTCACTCCCTGGCCTCTGGGAGAGTCTGAGACCGGGGCCTCCCACAGCCCTAGCCCTAACTGGGCCCTCCCTGAGTGGGGAGGTGAATTCCCAGAGAGCAGGGCTCCACACGTGGGCAGACTGGGCAGGAGAGGCCCCGGGTGGGCGGATGCCTCCCTCACTGGGTCTTGGGACAGATTCACAGCCAGCCCAGAACAAGTTCAATGGCTGAGGTGAGGTTGTGTATGGCTTCAGTCTTAAGACATTCTCTCCCCCCAAGAGTAAGGTGTATATGGGCTTGTAGCTTTGCAGGCCTCTGAGCGGTAGGTGGCATAGGTGGTTACAGCCTCCGGCAGAAAGAAATTACCAGGACGTAACTTAAGCCTCAGTAGCCTAGACTGCCATCATGGGGTGATGTGTTCAGGCAAGATGAGTGGACCATGTGTATCTGTGTGTGCCTGGCTTGGTTCTATAAGCAGAGCTTCAGTGGAAATGTTCACTGACAGCATGCCCTTTTAGTTGTGGTGGGAAACTTGTCTGTGAATCTCCTGAACTCATTTCTAGCCAGAAAGCCTAGACCCTCTTCACTGGCTTAAAAGCAAAAGATCTCCTTTTCAAATGGTCCTGGATGGGTAAACCAAAGCTGTGTTGTAGCTCTATCTGGAACCTTCTGTCCTGCTCAAGCTCCTGGGTCTGTCTCTTGCAGAGCTAGAGAAAGAACTTTCACGGAGGCCCAAGAAAGTGTGCATCGTGAAGGTGGTGGGGACGCGGAACCTGTGGAAAAACATCGTGGTTCTCTGTGTGAACTCGTAAGTCCTGGGAAACACGTATATATAGGAGGATACCGAGAGACCCTCCTCCCACTCCTACATGAACTCTGAATCCCAGCCTGCCCCACGCCCACCTGTCTCAACCTGTGTCTATGAAAGAGGCCCCAGAAATAGGCCCAGGCTGCCCATCTGTAGGTCTGAAGGAAGACAGGACTCAAAGATACCCACTACTTCACCAGGAAGCCTTAGGAACCAGCACTGAGCATCACTCTCAGCCCAGCCACCTGCTTCATACCAGTGCCCCAAGCAGAGTCAGAGCTCCTAGGGCTTTGAACGTAAAGACGGGAGGAGGTCTGGCGAGTTCCTGCACGCACCAGTGTCCTCAGAACAATGCCCTCCTTCTCTACATCTCATGAGAGTCACTCTGATAGCAAAAGTCTATTCACAGGCAGGTCCTATAGCACTGTCCAGCCAGGCACACAGAGGTCAGACCTGGAGCACCAGCCAACAATGCCCTCTACCTGTCTGCTGGTCTGCCAACACGAGAGTAGTTAGTGAGCACACAGAAGGCATTTCCTCCTAGCCCTGGGTAAGCAAAGGACCTCACCCATGTTTCTTTGATGTCTCTTCGAATTTAACTCCCTCGTGGGTTCACGTGTGGTGACGACATGGTTTCCCATCACATGTAAAGTGCTCTGGCCGGGCATCCCCTCATCTCAGTGCATACTACCCACCCTCTCCGTGTGTGTGTCTCCCGCAGACTGACAGGGTACGGGATCCACCACTGCTTTGCGAGAAGCATGATGGGCCACGAGGTGAAGGTGCCCCTCCTGGAAAACTTCTACGCTGACTACTACACCATGGCCAGCATCGCGCTGGCCTCCTGCCTGGCCATGTGTGTGGTCGTCAGGTTCCTCGGGCGCAGGGGAGGCCTGCTGCTCTTTATGATCCTCACCGCCCTGGCCTCACTTCTGCAGCTTGGCCTCCTCAACTGTGAGTAGGCTGGAAAGGGGAGACAAGGGAAGGATGCTGGGGACAGGGAGCTGGCATATGCAGGAGAGCTTGGAAGGCATGGCAGCTTTCTGTTTCTGTGACAAAACACTTAAGATAGTCAACTTAGAGAGAGGAAAGGTTTGTTTGGCTTATAGATTTGGAGTGTTTAAGTAGTCCATGGTTTGTTGAACCATTTGGGCCTGTGGTAAGACAACACTTCATGAAAGGAGCATATGCGAAGGAAATCTACTCACTTCATGACATAGAAACAGAAGAAAGGGATCTGTGGTCCTAATGTCCTCTTTAAGGGCATATCCCCAAGTGCATGAGTTTCTCCCATAAGGCTCTTGTTCATAAAGGTCTGCTCCCGGTACTGCCCTGGGTGGAAACTAAGTTTTCAGCGTATGGCTTTTGGGAGACTTTAAAGATGGCCTTTGAGAAATTTTAAAGATCCAGACTATAGTGGAGGGGTAGGATGGGACTTGAGGAAAGTTTTTCGTGACCTGAGCGATCATTCTGAAATCAACAGCCACAAGAATTTGCTTCAATAAGGATGAAGTTTAAGTAGAACATCTTGGCCCCTTCGTCTGAGGACTGCTGGGTCTCCCCTTCTCCTCCAACCCCTAGGCCCATGACCCCCAAATCAGAGTCCTCTGACTGCTCTATAACACCCCAGCATGCCAGCCTCCATGTCCCAGTAAACAGGACTTCACCATGGGCAGATCGCTTGTGAACTTCTCATATAAGAAGGAGAACAGGAGGAGAAAAACTCCGGACATTCTTGAGTGGGACACAGCTTTTCTACCAGTGTTCCCAAGGTTATCATTTATCAAAGTACTCTTCTGTAAATGTGACAAGTCACCTTAACACAAATCTAGGGAGTCTGTTTAATCCTCCGGTAACCTCTGTATAGGCCTCATAAACAGCCACCCACCTGTGTGCAAGAAAATCCCCCTGTCTCCTCTCTACCCACCCAGAGCACTGGCGTCTTCTCATCCCAGACTCTTCCCCTGGGACAGGCTCAGGACACTGCTGGGAAATGTGTCCCATTGAACACCCTTCTTTGGAGGAAAGCTAACCCAAGCTGCCGAGTAAGACTTACCTACTCTCCCTTTACCACTGACCACAACAGCCTTCCTGGAGTCCAGGTTATAGAAGAGCCAGTTTCAAATACCAGTGGTTTCCTAACTTAGGCATGTTCTGATGCATTCTGTACCTTGTTGGGCAGTGACCAAAATGAACAAGTGGTAGCCATTCTCCCCGCCTCCCTGGATGGACACTACCTAGCTGCCCTTCCAGAAAGTTTCTATCCAACTTACCCAGTTAGGGCAGATGTGGCAGGATAGCCTGTGGAGTATCCCATGTGCCCTCCTTGGCAGTGAACAAGAATGCCATAGAGACTCTGGGAAAAGGACAGGTAGCTGTGAGGAATAGGGTTTGGGGAGCAGAGATGCAGCCTGAGAGGCCCACTCCCAGTACCCAGTGCCCCTTGGCACAGACCAAGAGTACCATTTGAATAACCTTCTCTGCAGAGATGCTCTTTTAGATCTGCTCAGGTCCTCGCTCCCTCAGACTGCATTGTCTCCCAGACTACTGGCCACAGCCCTCTCTTTGCACAAAAAGGTCTTTGTTTAGTCCAGTGTGAACTTCACTGCCCAGGCAGCCAGCACTAACTCAGACTTAAAAGAAAGTTCCCTTAGAAACAAGTCACGTGGGAAGACTCGGCAGTTGTCCCATACCTAACAAGCCTTCTCCATCTCTCCCCACTCTCTTTACCCTGTGCATGTGGGCGCACCCATTCCATGGTTCCAGTGATCGGCAAATACAGCCAGCACCCAGACTCAGGTGAGTCCTAAGCGCTTGTGCCGCCTTGTCTTTTATTATGTCCAATAACAGTGGCCACACTCACTCACCAACTGGCTTTCGTTTCCTCTCTTTCTTCCTACTCTCTGCCCTTCAAGAATTGCAGCTGAAGTTGGCCGTAGGTTGGACACTATAAGCATACATTTGTATTCTCTATCCCCATCTTGCACTAGAGAAAGCAACTCGTGTTTCCCTGGTTTTGTGCAGCTTGGCATGCATGCCCTTGCAGTCCCCTGATCCAGCACCAGTGCTGTTTTCTTTGGCCAGAAGCTAGCCAGGATGAGAAGGCAGGAGGGTTGGGGCTTGGTTGTCTGTGCTGTAGGGAGAGTGGATATTTCCTCATGACTCATGAATGCTCGCTGCTTTCCAACTGGGGAACAGCAGAGGTGCTGCCCCATACCCCATGCTGCTATTGCACCTGCCTGGCCCAACCAAGCCTATGCCACCAGTGCCCATGTGAGCACTTGCCTTCCATGCAAAACTGAGGGAAACAGAGCTGAGCTTAGAAGCACAGCCCTGATGCATGCCAAAACACTGTGTGTAGTGCTGCCTCGTGCCAGCCAGGACCCAGTGCCACCTCCAGGTACCGAGATCGTTGAATACTTTCTCTCCCTCCAGGACCATGAATTAGTCCATTTGGGTCATGTGTGGCTTTGTACCCTTAAGTCAACATCGTCTCTGGATTGGGTGGGTCAACCCTGAGGGCTGCAGTCTGGAATCTGGGGCAAAGAGTATGTCACTGTGGCAGCAGGGGCCTCCCTGCCTGCCTTCTGCCTGGCACAGCTTCTAGATGAGGAATTCTACAGGCCACTGTGAGTTCAGCATGCTTGGGGCCCAAGGCGCCTACAGAAGGCAGGAGAATGTTTAAAGGGCTCCAGGTTCCTCAGCCTAGAGGACTGCCCACCCAGAGGCTACTGCATGCCCAACTGTAGTACAAACTGGGCACTGGGGAAGAGGGAGCTCCTGGGATATATCCCAGGCTTCCCTTCCTCTCTCCAGTTCATCCCTTGCCTGCCTTCTGTTCTCTTCCCTTCTCTCTACCTCATGGTCCCCTTCTTTGGATTCTCATCCAGGGATGAGCGACAGCGTCAAGGACAAATTCTCCATCGCATTTTCTATCGTGGGCATGTTCGCATCCCATGCAGTGGGGAGCCTCAGTGTGTTCTTCTGTGCAGAGATCACCCCCACAGTGATAAGGTGAGTGACTTTCTTCTCAGGACTCATAGTTGGTCCTTGTCAGTGTGTCAGGAACTGTCGTCAGTTCTGCCCCACCGCGGCTTCCAGACCAGGGTGTGGTGGCAGGCAGGGCACATTGGCTGCCTGACTCACCGTCTCATGATCAGCTTCACCATGGCTCTCAGGGTCAAGTGGGAACTTAACCCTAGATCCCCATCATTCATTTACCAGGGGCATGGAGACAAGGAACTGTTTAAGGTACAGGACACAGGACAGGAAACAGAAAGGAGAGGGATAAGTAAGTCACTCTTGCTGAGTTCTACCGAGATCCACTGGGGGCTCAGGACCAAGCTGTTTCAGCCCGAAAGGAAGATAGGCATGCATCCCACCTGTAATCCTAGACTCCCAGGAGGCTGAAGCAGGAAGGTAGAGGCCAGCATGGTCTACACAGCAAGACCCCATCTCAGTGAAAAGACAAGGGCTGAGCATGTAGTAGAGCTGTTTGCCTAGCATGTGCAAAGCCCTGAGTTCAATCCCCAGCACCCCATAGACGGATGTGGTGGTGCTTTCCTGTAATCCCAGCATTGGGCGGGTGAGGGGAGCCAAAGGATCAGAGAAGTCCAAGGTTAGCCTCGGCCATATGTACAAACAAATTAGAAAGCGTTAAATAGAACTCTGTATTTTTCTTCCTGGCCTGAGAACCTGATCACTAATCCAAAATTATATCACTGACTTAGTTAAGAAAAAAAAAAAATTAAGAGCCAAGTACTTGGCAGGCAACAGGCTAGGTAAGCAAGGTGGCAGAGTCCCAGGCTGGGAGAAGTATGTCTTTCCCTCATACTTTCCTAAGCAATCTGAAGTGTTTGTCTCTAAAGTGAAGTTCCTATTCCTGTGTGGTGGTGCATGAAGTACATACAACATTTGATCGCACTGGGATTGTAGTACAGTGGAAATTAGGACTTTGAAAGAGCATCTCTTAGCCACATTCCCTGTACCAGACACCCTCTTTCTAACACAGGTTGAACGTTACTGAACCCCAAAACCTGACATCTAAAACCAACGTGGTTCATTTGTGCTGACATGGCGTCAGGGGGAAAAAATGTTAATGGGACAAACAAAATTTGTCATAAAAATTCCGTGTCATGAACAAAATTGAAACATTGTATAAAAAGATCCTCAAGCTCCACAAGGTATATATGAGACCTAAACAATTCTGTGTTTAGACTGGGATCCCCTCTCCACGATACCTCATGACGTGTAATGCAAATATTCCAGAGTCAAAGGTACAAAATCCAAAAGCGTTTTGAGTAAGAGACCCCACCTCCACTGGCCGTTTGTTCTTCCTGAAGGGCTCGCTTCCTATGGTGCGGAGCTCCTTACCGGAACAGCTTTAGTATTCCTCATGCACATGCTTTTCTGAATTCGTGAGTGGGCAGTTAGTCAGCTGTGAACTGAAACCCAGAAGTCAGCACGATGACACCCTTCAGAAGAACAAGCAGGCATTCCAGTTCAGATGGGACTCGGGGAGACTAATTATTTTAGGCCCTCTGGTGCTGGGAGGGCTCAGGGAGCAGGTAGACAGGACTGTGGACTTACCTCCTTGCTGACAGCAGAATTTTCTCATGACCTCATTCTGACTCATTCTCTTGAATTTTCACAATCCAAGCCAAGACCTGCTGGCCATTGGTTCCTGTAATAAAATACCTAGTCATTGTATATTTAAGAAAAAGCAATTAGGTGTCTAGTAAGCTTTATAGTTCCCTACCTTCTGCATGAGCCAATGTCAGATGGACCAGAAACTTGTTTTGCACTTGTAGTTGTGAAACACTGAAGACACATAGCATCTTACTCTTTCCCCACCTAGTTAAATTCCCTCCTTTCTAAAAGAATCCAGAAAGAGAATCTCCCAGCCAGAGTACAAGTATCCATTAGTCCTGGTTTCTGGTAGCCACTGGCAGTCACTGCATGACTCTCTGTGTTTCTCTGGGGAGGGCACACCCCTTATCTCTGGCCTCATTGGCAGTGTGCTCAGCAAGCTAAAGTGAAAGAAATGTGGTACCCTTTTCCTCTTTGATGGAAATCTGGAAAAATGATTTGGGGACAGAAATTGAACAAATACATTCTAAAGTTCAGCTTGCCAAGATGACAAGCCAGAAAAACATTTGGCCCTGGGTGATGTTTGGTACCTGCAGAGCGTGAAAGAAAAGCGAGGCCAGTTCCTAGCCAGGCTGGAAGAGTCTCTGTGGGAACTCTTCCCAGCCATGGTTTGTGCAGCTTTTTCATGCAAATACACCCATGAAAAATTCCCATGAGAGCCACAGGAAAAACATGCAAATTCCAGACCACCCCCTCCACATAGAAAAAAACAAAACAATTGAGGGTGGGCTCCATGGACTCTCTTTTTCTTATGACAGTCTTGCCTCTTTCCGTAACGCTGTGTTGAACAGAAACCTTCTGAAGTAAGAACAGCAGTGTCTTAGATAGGGCTACTCTTGCTGTGATGAAGCACTATGACCCAAAGCAAGTTGGGGAGGAAAGAATTTATCTTGCTTACAATTACAGGCAGGAACCTGGAGGTGGTCACTGACACGGAGGCATGAAGGAGTGCTGCTTATTGGCTTGCTCCCCATAGCTTTGCTCGGCCTACTTTGTTATATAATCCAGAACCACATCCAGTCCAGGGATGGGTACCACCCACAATGGGCCCTCCTCCATCAGTCACAAATAGGGAAAATGTCCTACAGTCTTGCCTACAGCCAGATCTTATGGGGGTACTTACTCAATTGGAATTCTCTTTTCTCAGATGACTCTAGCTTGTATCAAATTGACATAAAATTAGCCAGCACAAACACAAAGATGAAGATGCCAGGATCAAGACACTGGACATGTCCAAGGGCGTGTTTTCGGTACAGATTCATGATACTCTATTGCCCTGTAGGTGGTAGAGAATAAAGTAAACCCTGTCTTACCGAATCTTGTTTGGACTGAACAGGGAGCCACTTAACCTCAGTCCACCGTGTTTACCACTAGCCAGGCAGCGGCTCCTGAGATTGGTTTCCTAGGCTTTGGGCATTAGGTGAGTTGAAGATGGGCTAAGACAGACAGGTTTCCATCCTTCCTCCCCAGTCTCTCTCCCTGTCTTGGGCCGAAGTGACTCGGGAATGCTAGGCTGATATAGAAATAGCCAGTGACTTTTATTGTGGTGGGTCACCTTTTCTTCCCACTGTTACCTGGAAGCTGAAGATAGGAGCTCCTGTAACCTACAGTGGCTTCCTTTCCCCACAACAATGGGACAAGAGAAGAGAACAGGTGGATGCTGGTGATCCTGCCAAGCTGGAAGCTGGCTTCACAGTCTGCTTAATTTCCATGGAGTCCTAGTCATGGACTTTCTGTCCTTGACCGATGCACTATCCCTGCTTCTCTCTCTGCTAACTACTGCTTGCCTGCTGCTCATGTGGCCCTATCCCTTTACTCTGGTCCAGATCATCGCATCATACTGGCCTTGAGACCTTTCCCTTTGAGCAAGGTCCCCATGTCTGTCTTCTGCCCTGATGTTGCCTCAAGGCAAGGCAAGATTTGCCATCCATCCCCATGACAAAGGTAGGGCCAACCACAAATGGACAGCATTTGTTTAAAGAAATGATGCACCTGCCTGTAGCTCAGTGGTACAGTGTATGCTAAGCATGTACACTGTTGGGAGCAGTGAGACCCCAGATCCTGAATTTCTTGTAATCCCCTGATCTGAGTGCTTACAGTTGCTCTGAGCACGAGACCTTCAGGAGTTCCTGATGGCAGGAGAGTGGTTTCTGGTGGGTTTAGCTAGGGCGTGGCTATCTCTATATAATCTGCCCCTGAACACAATAAAGGGGGCATTCTTGGGGAATTCAAGGATGACCCGTGTCACTGTCTCTCTGTCTGTGTGTGTTTATGTATTTTAACCTCCAGCCCCCTTGCCCGAAGCTCGTGAACTGGGTGCCAGCGCACAGAGCGCAGACACGGGGGCGTGGTGCGTGGCAATACACAGCCCTGGATTCCCTCCCTAATACCCACACCCAATAAACTATGATTTAGTGGGCATGTACAGTCCTTGCCATCACCCCCTAAACACCTACTTACATTGCATTTGCATTGTGTTCGGTATTATGAATTATGGCAAATGATGTAAAGAATGCAGAAAGTATGTAGGTTACACATACTACTATAGCATTTTCTATAAGGGACTCAGGCATCCAAAGACATGGGGGTCTTAGAAACAACCCCCCACAGATACCCACTGAGAACTGCGTATGTGACTCAGCAAATGCAATTCATACTACTGCTCATACCTGCATAGCCCTGGCAGTTCTTCATTTCTGAGGAAACAATCACAATATTTGTGCATCCTTAACTTCACAGAAATGCAGTTAAGAAAAGCTAAAAAAAATGTAAAAGAGGAAATAAAACGTGGGGGAGGTGTGTTCTTGGTGGTTCATGTTTATTTCTGATTCACACTTTGCTCCTTCTGGTAAGTCTGCCTGGGGGCCGTGGTTGTTCAGAGGGCATTACCCAAAGTAATGCTATTCGGTGGGCAGTGAAAACTTAATGTGTCTAAGAAACAGGGTCTTCTTTGTCTCTGTAGACGCCTCACTGGTGTGTAAACATGGGCTTAGGCTGCCCTCTAGTGAGCACTCATCGCAACAGCATGTGCCTATGACCTCTCTGCCTTTTAAAGGGAAATAAGATCCCTAGAGACTTAAGGACAAACAAAAATGGCATACTGTTTTACTAAATTATCTATAATATTATTAAATTCAAGGAATCACTGATGGCAAGACAGAAAAGTATTTTCATAGAAAAAAATGAAGACATACAAGTGTTTCAAACATTGCTTAACAACAGGATCTGTGGCGAGAAATACGTCACTATCTGATGCTGTCACCATGCATACATCGCCGAGTAACTTATGCACACCTAGATGCTCTGTGTTGTTTACTATGAACCCGGAGGTGCTGGTGGTATAGTACATAAGCTCTCGCTGTGTAGCCCAGGCTGGCCTTGAACTCACTGTCCTCACACCTCAGCCTCCAGAGTGCTGAGATTACAGGGCATGCTAAAACATGGGGTACACCTTTTTTCTAAGTAGAAATGCTTTATGATAGCATGTAACACATCCCACTACAGAATCATTTAGCCTCCTAGAGCATTAGGTATTGCATATCATTCTATGTGCTGTCCTTTAAAATGACTGACAAGGCACTAGGCTTGCCTACACCAGCAACGCTACAGTCATGTGGGAGTGGACTGTGCTGTGCTAGCTGTTGCAGCAGCAGCGAGGATATCCACAGGGATATGACTGGTCCCTTTCCCTATAATCCTACGAGACCACTACCTTGTCTGCAGTTTCCCCCTGGCCGGAATGTTAGGAATTACAGTGGATTCTCTTTTACCCATGTATAGAAACACACTGAATATCATATACATGTATCTACATTTAAATGAGCTGTAAATCGCATATATAATGTAATCGCACTCAGCATGATTTATTAATACATTACTTTGATATCGTTCGCTTGATGTCATGTGAGACTTTCCTGGGGCTGGGCAGCTTCAAACACCCCCTACATTGGAGGACTGTATTCTGCTTTCCTGCATGGCAACTCTACATGGGAAAGGGCACCCTTGGTGCCAGCTAAGAAAAAAAAAAACAGAAAAACAACCTTATTGGTGTCAAAGGTCCCAATAAAACAAGTCTCTGACATCTAATACACCCCTCACATCCTCTGGTTTCCCAAAGGGGCCAAATTTACCAGAAATTCTGAATGGCTATTTAGGTATTCATATTATTCACCTGAGGAATGGGCTCAATTTCATTGCTCTCTAGGAAGCACGATCTGTGGGCATCTGGTATTTTTTACATGCCAACTGTGAGACAGCTGATGTTCCTGGAAATAACCCTTGCCCTTGATGGGTTCATGGAGGAGCAAATGTTGACAGAAAGATGCCAGTGTCTTTTAAAGGTGGTCTAGGACCCTCTTGGGAAAGGACTGGTGTCTGGATAGCACCAAGAAAAAGATGTCCCTCCTCAGTGCACCACTTGCCAGACCAGCAGTGTGACTTTCTCTGTCTTGCAGTGCTCTCTTGGCAAAGAATACAAAGTACTGAGAATAGAACAGCCTGGGTGAAAGGTTCCATAGTTAAGGCTGGGCATTCCAGCTACAGAACTTACCTATTTCTGCATAACAAATGACTCAAATGCTTGGGCTTACGGATATATCTGTGTGTTAGTGGTCTGAGCAATTCTTAGCTGGATCCTTGTTCTAAGTCCCATGAGCTACAGTCCCCGTGAGAGGAGGCTCAGCAGTCATTGACAGAATCCAGTTCTTCATGAATTGCAGACCATTAACTGGGAGCCATGTGTACCCTGTATGTGGAAGGGACATCTCGTTGTTTTTGCAATGCTTTATTGGCAATAAATTCCTTATTTCTTCCAGCCCCTAAAAAGGCAAAGATTAAAAGTACTGGGAAGTGGGAATCGTCTTCTTAGGAATCTGACACAATACCTAGTAATGTCCAAGGGCCAACTGGCTAGGTCTTACACAGTTACTGAGAGAATACTAGGGATTACAGAATGAGCAAGATTCGATCTTGTCCTTGAACACCTCCCAAGTGCAGAAACACAGAGGCATGAACCATGAGGATATGGTCTTCTGAGAGGAAGGACTCAGGGAGGTTTGGAGCAGCTCTGCAGCTTGCTTAGCCTGGATTTCACAGAGTTCACAGGGGAGTCCCAAGGAAGCCAACAGGAACCATAAGCACTGTGCCTGGGAGGAGGTGAGAGCTCTGAGTCATATCTCCTACATCAGCTCAGGATTGGTCTGACAGCCACTGGAAGGAGCCCGAGTAGCCCTGGGTACATGGAAAAGGATCACAGTCTCTGGGCTCTTGAGAAGAGGCAAGACTGGCCTCACTCAGATCATGAGATGATGGGGATCTGTACCAGCCAGCCTGGCTCACAGCTGCAGAAGTTTGGGAGTTAGCAGCTTTAGTGACATATATTTTATATAGGATCCATTCATTAAGATTTATAAATAGTTTGTCACCCTCCAATCATAGACCACTTCCATCACCCTCTAAAGAAAAACATGCCCTCATGCCCCTTTGCAGTTTTTACCTTCACTCCTAGCCCCAACCACGGTCCTGCTTTCTGTCTCCCTGAATCAACATTTCTGACATTTCATAGAAATGGAATCGTACAATCAGCATGATGTTTCTTATGGTGTAAAATGTCAATTCTTCATGCTTTTAATGGCTAAGTAATATTCCGTTATATGTGGACATGCCACATCTTAGTTATCACTCACCAGCTGATAGACATTTGGATTGTCCCCAGTGCTAAAAGGCATAAACATTTATTTGTAGATTTTTGCCTGAGCATATGTTTTTACTTGTTTTGTACATGGAGTTGCTGGTTATATAAAATTGTGTTTCCTTTTAAGAAAATGTCCTATTTTCATCTTGTTACAAGGAGGCTAGCAGAGAACTCTTGCCTCTCTAGGTCCTTCTTGGTCAGCATATTGGGATGTCACAACTATAGGGGATACCAGGTAGTACCAACCAGAGCAGGCTCCTGCACAAAGACAGAACTTCCTTGGTACTTTAATTCATTTTCTATTGTAATAACTGACAATTTAGAAAGAGTATATTTCATTCATCTATGGTTCTGGAGGCTGAGGGGTCTAACGTAGGGGGTTGTACATGGGTCCTAGATAATGAAGACTCTGCAGAATCCCAAGGTAGTGCAGGGCATTACATGGTGACACAACAAATATGCAAACTCAGGCTTCTCCTCTCCTATAAAGGCCTTATAAAATTATCATCATGAAGGCTGGAGAGATGGCCCAGTGGTGAAGAACATTGACTGCTCTTCCAGAGGACCAGGGTTCAATTCCCAGCACCCACATGGCAGCTTACAGCTGTCTGTAATTCCAAGAACGGACACCCTCACACAGATATACATTCAGGCAAAATACCAATGCACATAAAATAAAATAAATTTTTAAAAAAGAAAAAAATTATCATCACGGGTGTCCCAACCTCTTGTCTACATTTAATATTTGTTATTCCCAAAGGCCCCATATCTGAATTCCACCAACAGTTGAATTTAAGGATTAGGTTTCTTTCACTCTTTTTTTTTAACCACTTACTTTTTCTGTTAAGTTTTTTAATTTATTTATTTTTATTTTATGTACATTGGTGTTTTGCCTGTAGGTATGTCTGTATTAGGGCATCAGATCCTCTGGGAACAGGAGTTACAGACAGTTGTGAGCTGTCATGTGGGTGCTAGGTATCGAACCCAGATCCTCTCGAAGAGCAGTCAGTCAGTGCTCTTAACCTCTGAGCCATCTCTCCTGAGCAGAGGATTGAGTTTCTGGTACTGGAAGTTTGTGGGGCATAGGCGCTTACCCTAAAAGCCCATCAAGCCGCTGTCCCACTCCACCCAACTGGTATCAAACGTTGTATACCTCTTTCAAGCCTGTGCTCTCTCTCCCCCTGCAGGTGTGGTGGGCTGGGGCTGGTGCTGGCCAGTGCAGGCTTTGGTATGCTGACGGCGCCCATCATTGAGCTGCACAACCAGAAAGGCTACTTCCTGCACCATATCATCTTCGCTTGCTGCACGCTCATCTGCATCATTTGCATCCTCCTGCTGCCCGAGAGCAGGGACCAGAACCTGCCCGAGAACATCGCCAATGGGGAACACTACACGCGGCAGCCGTTGCTGCCACACAAGAAGGGAGAGCAGCCGCTGCTGCTCACCAACGCGGAGCTCAAGGACTACTCGGGTTTGCACGACGTGGCGGCAGTGGGGGATGGGCTGCCGGAGGGGGCCACCGCCAATGGCATGAAGTCCATGTAGCTTCCTGGGCCACACCACCTTCCGCCAGTCCCCCTGAGGCTTGAAGGGCTGGGGAAAGTTTGCACACGGATTTACAGACCAGAGAGAGGACGCGTGGCTGGGGGAGGAAGTCTGTCTCTGCTGCTGACTCGGCTCCATCGTGAGACTTCCAACTGGTGTGGGGAATTCTGTCTTTCCAGACATCCGAGGAACAGATCTGAGAAATCAGATGTTTGGGAAATAACCCTTTGAAGACTTTCTTTTCTGCCATTAAACGTTTGTATTTATTTTGGTCATTTTTACGAGAAGCACTTTATCCCCTTCCCTCTCGCTGATCATGAAGTGGAACCTTCTTCAGGAGTGAGGCAGGGTCATTCTGAGGAAGTCCCTGGAAGTGGCCAATGCAGTAGCCAGTCCCCTCCCTGGAGGCCAGCCTCAATTTTCTTCTCCACTCAAGGAGACAGAGGTCATCTGTAGGCCAGGACCCCTACCTCCAGGCTCGCTGCCGTGGACAGCTGCGCCTCTCAAGTGGCGCATTCTTGGGACTGCATTTTAGACAGAGGAAAATGTACATGAATTGGGTTTTTTTCTATAGTCTGTCTATTTTAAAGTTGGGGTTTTTTTTTCTTTCTGTTTGTAAGGTCGTTTCCACCCCGTGTGTTGGGAAGTAGCCCCCAGAGGGTCATAAGAGCCAGCGCCATCTTTCTTTCCTTCAGGATCATCCTTTTGTACTTGATCTGGAAGTTTTTGTGGGGAAACTTCCATGCTGCACCAGAAACCCTACGTGGTGAGAAAGCACCCATTTCCTGACACTGGGTTTGCTTAGTTAAGTCCGCAGTAGCTGTTGTGTCTGAGATGTCTGTTTCTATTAAGACACCTTCCCAGATTGAGTTCCAGCAGCAAAGGTCCCTCTTCCCCAGTCAGCTCTGTTGCCAGCACTACTTGAAAATGTGGTTACTTTCAGAACTCCAAACAACAGAAAAATAACCGAAAAAAAAAGATGACTAAGGCAAATCCCAGGAGGGAGCCTTGCTCTCCCACACATGGCCGCCACCCACATCTCCAGCACACACCATAGAGAGCTCCAGCTTGGATGGCTGTCACTCTGACATCACAACAGTGCCCATGGCACCTGGAGGCGGTCCACCTCATGTCTTCCTCAATGGCTTCCTGCCTGTCACTCACTCAGCACAAAAGGGTCCTGGGCAGGAGTGCAGGTTGCTCACAGGTGAGGCCACGTGGCCTTTAGTCCTTGAAAGCAGCAAGAAGAGAGAGAAAGCAATAACTCACCAAAGCTCAACCCCATCCTGCGCCAGCCTCCAAGGATGTCCCTTACCTGTGACCCTCATCCGACCCGAGACAGCAGGGCCCCAGGGCTGCTGAGAAACCAGCCTCTGGACCTCTTTCAGCAGCTCAGGCGCCAGCCTCTCTGGGCACCGTGGCTTCTTCTCAACCATCTGCCTTGCCTCTTGCCATGCGTCTCCACCATGTGTCCTTCCAGGAAAATCACGGTCTTGGGCCTGTGTGGGCAACTACGTGACTTCTAAGTGGCAGTTGCTCAAAATTCAAAAGCTAGAAAATGCTTGAGTTTATCCCCTCCCAGCTCCTTGTCTGGTCTATTTCTTACAGTCTCCCCTGCTTCTCTGCCCCATTTGATAGATAACATCAGCAGAAGCCAGCTGCCTTGATGACAACCTCCTGAGGGCAGTGCTGGGATGTGCAGCCATGTTTCCAGTAGCTGGCCGATGTTCTCTTCCATGCCTGGGGTCTTGAGTACTTCGCTTGAGGACCAATGTCTAGGAAGGAAGTTGTGTGGCCAGTCCCCGATACCTGCCCCCAGTCCAGCTTCCCTTCCATGCCTTGATGTCACTACACATCCTCTCTTCAAAGCCTCTCTACATCTGTGCAGCCTTTGCGTGCCAAACTTGTAAGATACTTTTCACCCTTCCCAGGGTACCTGCTACCAAGTCACCTGGCAGCAAACTTGTTAATAGAGAATGAGACATCCGCATAGCCGAGAACAGTCTTCCACTGGTTGTGCTGTCCTTCTTAAGAGCTTTGCTAAAACCACCAGGGAGGTGATGTCAAGGGACAGCACTTCCAAACTTCTTGTCGAAGCCTCCAATCTCCACCTCAAATGACAATGGTAAAAACACTGGGCCAGCGCAGACAGTGTTAATAGCTACAGCAATCAGAGCCAACCTATCAGGGATTAGCAGGGACACTACCATTGAGGCAGGGGCCAAGGGACCACAAACCAGAGGAAGTTCAGAAGGCCGATTGCTGGCTGTGTCTTGACCTTGACTTTCATGTGGCAACCTCAGGGCCCGCTGAGTAGTTCAGTTTCTGCTTCGGAACATGGATACCTGAAGATGCTGGAACACCTCATGAAAGGTAGCCAAAACAGGAAAGTTTGCCTGTAGCTAAGCTTGTTGTGTGGTCTGATCGAGTCAGAAAGACAGCAGGACACCCATGCCTCAGATACTCTGGCCTAGCTCCATAGGAAGATGGTCACAGCCCAGCTCCCTGGTACCAAGCTGCCATCCCTAAACTCAGTCCTGTGCTCCCGTGGGTAGATAGATGCTTCTCAGGCACTGGTCCTTTGTGTTGGGCTCCTCCGTCCCTGGGGACCTCCAGGGCTGTCGTCCTCTCCTCTCATCCCTGCCCCTGTTTTCATAACTAATGCACAAATGTGCGCACCTCAGACAGGGCTGGAACAGTTCTTCATTTTGCTCTTTACTAAGTCAGATACTATGAACTATCTAATTATTAGCACCCAAGACGAATAGGAGAAAAAGGTTTAGATGTTTTTGTGTTTTAAGACTATAGTCACCTACAATGGAGGACAGGGTTTGGCTACAAAATGGAAAGCAAGCAAAACCAGATCTTGTAAAGGAAATATCACAGGCAGTCACAGTCGTGACTACTTCCCAGAGCCAAACAAGAAGTCCCTGAACTGGAAGTGCCATTCAAAAGAATCTCGTGACCATGACACACCCAGCCCCTGGGTGGCACACAGGTCGAGGGAGGCCCACACTTCACCTCCTCCGTGTTCTTAAGGACACCACCTCACTCTAATAATGTATTGTGTGTGTTTTGGAGCAGTATGATGTGTTGTGTCTAGTGAGGAACGCTTCCCTACCTCTGTCCTCTGCAACCCCACCATGCGTGCTTTTATCCCAAGAGCCGCGTGACTGTACGTGTTGATGGGGCCGGTACCTGTTCATAGCACAAGTTTATGTTGAGCTCTGAACTGTCATTCACAGCTGCGTGTCTGCATGGTGTCGCATCTGTTGTACCTTTGGGGAAAATTTGTATGTAAATGTACAGAAATAAAAACGTTGCCCCACTAACAGATTTCCTCTGGAATGTCTTCCCTACCTCACCTGATGGTATCCACAAAGGGCATTTCACTACCACTGAGGACAAGTAATAAAACCCTCCATGTTGACCAGACCTCCCCGCTCACTACTTTGAAGGCTTCTTCTGTCAGCGGCCTTTTCTTGCCCTGGGGAGGGTGGGGGTCTCAGTCTGCTTGAAGAGTCCTAGTCTTAGAGGGTAGTCAGAGGCTGAGACCGGATTAACCTTAAATGTTTATGTGATTCTCAAACCATCGGAGAATTCAGCGCATTTAAGAGGAATTTTTTTTCTCGTTTGTGTTCTGCTAACCTGTGGCCTGAGGATTCCCAGAGAGGTCAAGGAGTGACTATCTACACTGTGATTCTGTGAGGAAAGACTGATAATCCAAAACGCTCTTCTCTAATGTAGTATTTTTTAACAAGAAAACAATATTTCTTTAATAAAGCATTTATACCAAACTCTTCTCTCCGTAGCTGATTTTGTGTTACTCACTGTTCTGTCCTAGAGAGCTGTCTGCAGGCTTTCAGCACTGCAGAAACACTGGCTGCGGCCTCAGAGCTTGGCACAGCAAAGTGTGCAGGAGGCAGCTCCTCAAACCCCAGACACAGTTAAATGTCCTTATTCCTGCCCTTGCGGGGCTCAGTGCAAAAGCCTTAGCACGGTGCAAAATAATTATAGGCCCTGAACTGTCTACTGTCAACACAAAAGGGTCCAGGGAGGAACCCAAAGGGAAAGCTCTTTGGCAATGGTGGTCACCTTTGGTCAAAACATGGTTCTCAACACATGAACCTCTGGTGGAAAATCACAATTAGAGCCCCAGCAGTAGTCAGGAAGATGCCAAGGACTAAAAATGGCCAAAGGGCAAGGGACTAGGGAGAAAGGAAAGCAAAGGTGACAGACATAAGAGCAAAGTGGCCTGAGGCACTGGTGTCCAAAAAAAAAAAAAAAAAAATTAAGTTAAAACCAAGATTGCTACCTGTCACAGCTTTTACAGTTTGCAAAGCAAAGCATTTCTACACACTTAGCAGGCTAGGGATTACTGCCATTTCTCAGATGGGAAGAACAGACAAAAGAAACTAGACTCCACAGAGACCACAAATCTAGAAAGCTGCACTAAGGTTCAAATGTAACTTTACAAAACACAAGTAAAGTGCCCAGGCAAGGCTTAGAGAGAACACTGGGAAAGCTCCCCAAGGCTGATCTATCAGTTTACAAGACAGAAGCCTCAGGACCTGCCACACGAGCCTAAAGCATAGCCACTGTGGCTCTTAACTCTGACCGGGAGTGTGGAGCACAACAGCACTAATTTCAACTGTTTCCAATTACACTTTTGCCCCTTTCTCCAGAACCAAGCAGTCAGGAGTGTGTGTGTGTGCTGTCTGCCACTTTCCTTCCTGCCAATGCCCACCAGCCTGAGCCTCCTGACGTCCACACTAAGAGGAGACAGCCCAGTAATAAACTCTTTAAAGCAAGGTATGAATGCAGCCTGAGACAAAACCCAACCTGTTTATTGAAATGTAATTTATACACGAGATACACACTCTTCCCTCTGCCACTCAGAACTTCTCGGGAAACGTCTCCATCTCTTCCTTGATCCTGTTTTCTACGAGTAACGTGAAGTTGCTGTCTGTGTTGGAGAGGTTGTAGCTGACAAACACCTGTTTACTGGTCTTCCTGGCTAAAAAGACAAAAGTATGTTGACAGTCACGACTGAAATACACTGAGTCCATGTTCCACAAACGTGCTGAGAGCTGGGAAGTGCTTGGAAGGAGGATGGGATTTGGAGAATTCTCAAGGGCTAGACATGCAAATGGACATCTAGTGCCGTCCTCGACTCTGGAGCCCTGGATTTAATGCAGGCCTACGCAGCAGCAGCAGAGACTCAGCAAGAACTGCAGTCTCTGGCCCATCCTGACTCCTGCAGGAGAAAGATACAGTGTGGGGCCCAGCAGTCACTGCTAGAAAGCTCTAGGGTAACCACACACTAGTATCTGAGAACCTCTATTCTACATGGAGCTTGTGGCTTCAAAGGTGTGAGGGTTTTGTTATTTCAAAAACAGTCAAATACTGACGTTCTCCATCATCACTGCCCACCTCTACCATTTTCCACTCTCTTTCTAGGAGAATGCTTATTTTATGCATTACATATGTGTATACATGTACACACATGCATGCATGTGCATTTTCTAGAACCGATAAATAGGAGAGGCACTGATGGAACTGAAAAAATGAAGCTCAGCTACATGCTTAGAATGTGGAAGGCAGTACCCTGAGCAGAAGCAGGCAGCAAGCCTAAGCCAGTGTTTCATTCAGCAATGTCTGGGTAGTGGCCTGACCTCTTCCTTTGGCCTCACCCATGCCCAGGGCATAGGCACAAACTACTTTTCCTCTCTCAGAACACCAATCCTTCACTCATCCTTCCCTCTAGTCCAGGGACCCCACCCTCCTCTCCAGGCAGAACAGCAGACAGTAAGGCTGAGTAGTCGTAATACTCTGATTAAAGCCTGCTGTAGAATATACTGAGCTTCATCCAGGTGGTGACTCTGTCTCCCTCTGCAATTCTCACCTGCAGTTGAAGGAGGGTGTCAGCGAGGGCAGAGGCAAAGCTGCCTTCAAGCCTGGGTCTTTCCCGCCCCATCACAACCTGAAACTTCTGGGCTCCAGACCCTCCTTTGTAAATCAAAGGCAGTAGGGCCTCTGACTCTCAAAGGCCTTTTTAAGTATTTTCTTCATTAGTTATTCAAGATTGTGCTTGTTTGTTTTCAGATAAAGGGATCTTGGGGAATATTCTGTTGACTGGGTAGCTGATGCATCCCGAGAAGAGCCCAGCCTCTGCCCTGAGAACAGCCTGAGGTTTGTTTTAGGTTTTTAGTTTTTGAAGACAGGGTTTCCCTGTGTGGCCCTGGCTGTCCTGGAAATAGCTCTGTAAATCAGGATGGCCTCAAACTCACAGATCTGTCGGCCTCTGCTACAGGGTGCTGGGATTAAAGGCAAGTGCAACCATGTCCAGCTCTGTTGTTTTCTTTTAGTTTTTTTTTTTTCCTTTTGAGACATCGTTTTTCTGTATAACAGCCCTAGCTGTCCTAGAACTTGCTCTGTAGACCAGTCTGGCCTCCAACTCAGAGAGAGCCACAAGCTTCTGCTCCTGTGCTGTGAGTAAAGGTGTGAGCCACCATACCCGGGGTGTTGTTTTCTTTTTTAAAAAAGGAATGTAAAAACCAATGGAAGGATGTAGCCAGGCATAATGGCACACATGTGTAAGCCCAAATCCCAGCACTTAGGAGGGAGACATAGGCAGTTAAGCCTATGCTGTAGGCCCGCCAAATCAAGAAAGACAGACTGTCTTTTAAAAAGGAAGAGGAGGGGGCTGAAGAGATGGCTCAGAGGTTAAGAGCATTTCTTCCAGAGGCCCTGTGTTCAATTCCCAGCAACCACATGGTGGCTCAAAACCATTTGTAATAAGATCTGGCGCCATCTTCTGGTGGGCAGGGGTACATGCAGGCAGGACACTGTATACAATAATAAATAAATAAATTTTTTAAAAAAGGAAGAGGAGGAGGGAATCTGGACAGAAGCAGTTGTTCAGTTAGCACAGAAGACAGTGCCTTACAGTAGCTCACAGCATTTTCTTTGGGCCAACCACCAGTTTGCTGCAAGCAATGTTCCCTGGGGTCCCAAACAGTGCTCTGCTCAGCACAAGGAGTAGAGCAGGGAGATCCAAAATGTCTCCCCCACCCCCACCCCAACCACCTCTCCAATCCCATTCCCTGAGGTACAGGAGGGAGCCTGGGAATTGATAATTTAGATAATGATCTGAGAACCAGTCAAGTATGGCAAGATAGTGAGATCCACCAAGACTAACCAGAAAGGGGCCATAAAATCACAATGCTTAGTCTGTCCTCTCAGCGGCAGTGGTGTGGCCTTCCCCTCTCCCCATGGGAGCCCACAGTACTGTAGTTCCCATCAGTCTAATTGCTAAGGAACCACTGTATCTGTGACTCAACCTTCCAGGCCCATCTCTGCCCTGGAAGGCGACCAGAGCTCAGGGTCTCCTCCTACATGCAAACTGTGGTGCAATGCTTCCAGGGTCACTGAGAGCCCTGCAGCCCAGCTCTTATCTGTCTGCTTTTGTCTTCCATAGATGTTATTCTGCAGGACACCTCTATCTTTATCATAGGTTACTGATCCCTGTCCAGGCCCAAGGAGATCAGTCAGCCTGGGACTTTGCTGAGCACTGTGCAGCACCAGACCTTTCAACATGCCAGCAGCCACGACAGTCACCAAGTCACTGCACAAAACCTGGTGTTAGGCCTCTATCTCATATTCTTGAGCCAACGCTGCATTTTTTTTGGTATGAAATCATTGGTGGCACACACTAGGATATGATGAAAAGGCCAAAGCAGAAGAATCATGAATTTGAGGCCAGCCTGGTTTATACCTCAGGGCCTGGAGAGATGGATGGCTCAGCCACTAAAAGCAAATACTGTTTCTGCAGAGGACTAAACTGGAGTTTAGTTCCTAGTACACCTGTGTCAGGTGACTCACAACTACCTGGAACTCCAACTTCAGAGGATTCAACACTCTCCTCTGACCTCCGTGGGCACTTACACTCACATGGACAAACCCATACCCAGACATACACATATATACATTAAAATATAATCTCAATATAAAAAACAAACTTAATTCATGGCATGCCAAATAAATTTTTGCAGCCCTTCTCTATCAGTGACTGTCCCCATATATATGGACCCTTCCCTCAATCCTGTCTGCGTGGACATGAGCACACAAGTCTCTTGACATAATGTGTTAGCACTTCTGTATGTAAAAAACACACAAGGAAGCACTGAGAAGCAAAGACGCATCATGTCCCCCACTTTGACGTGATTCATGGGGAAAAAAATGTAAACACAGAAAGAAAAGGTCAAAAAGTCTTGGTATAGGTTCGGCAGAAATTCTTTCCTATAAACTCAAAATTACTTCCTAATAAAAAGTTTGCAAAACAGCTCATGCGTCAGGTCTGTTTCTAGGTTAGGTCCCCGAAAGTTCCTGTGACCTCTATCTACCTCTCCTCTAACCATAGGATATGACAAGTTTGGAGCTCTCCTGAATTAGTGGCATTCCTCCTGGGCTCTATGTTAGCTGCTTGTGTATAAGTCACTGAAAATGACAGAAATTCCTACTTGTTAACATGATACAATTTTCTTTGTACAACTCCAAACACAACTGATGTGTGAGTTTCTCAAAACTGGTGTTGGGCTCTTTCCCATCACATCCCCTGGCTAAGATTCGGGAGTACCCTGGAATCACTGGGTTCAGAAATGACTAGGATGCTGGAAAACACAAAGACTGAGTCATTGATGAAGACACCCCGTGCATACAAGTCAGGGGCAAGTGGGGCTGGAGATCATAAAACACAAGATATTACCTGAACCGCCTGAGTATTTGTAATTTAAAAAAAGGCACAGGTGGGAAGAGTGGGGCCTTCAATCTCATACTCTTTGGTAAACACCCACCCTACTCCGCATTCATACTAAGCCTGAGAAACAGTCCTCCCTGCAGTACAGAAATTGCCACAAGGCCCAGGAAGCCACTCTGAGCAGCTGGCCCTGGGTAGAATTTATCCTCTCCCACAAGGAGATGATATACTCATTGAAAGAAAATATATCCGCTTGTGGATGCAAGTGGGGAGCAAAGAAGAATATGGGGGCTTCCAAAAGTTCCTGGGATCAGGATACTGAGGCAGCTGACACAGGTACCTACATGCACATGTGTCCCCTAAAAAGACCCAAAGGACAGAAGTCTGCTTCCAACAGTAATGAGGCAGTGGTCCCTAATATGATGGTGCTTTATCTGAGGTCATTTGCCCTAGGACATGAAACAGTGGGTCACGTCTGACTGGTTACAAACACTAGCTGTGGGTACATACCTAAGCGCTGGGCAAGGCCAGAGGAGGTCGTGTCAGACGTGTCTCCAAAAAGGGAGGTGCACACAGGGATGGGGTCCTAAAAAGGAGGGAAAAAGAACAAAGAGTATACCATGAATTGTCCTCAACCAGGCAGCTTTGGTTTCTACACAAGGCATCAGGGCAACAAGAAGACATACAAATATCCCCAGTCAAAAGCCAGATGACCCTAATACAATAGAGGGAGAAAAATTAGGGCAAACAGAAGCCATCTGTAATGGGACCCATGGAGCTGTTAATAGATTCTAGGGCCTATTTCACATAAAGCGATGGTTTTTGTGTTACAAACCCCAAAGAATGCTGAACGGCATTCCAACCAGAAGCAAATGAACTCACTAAGACCACAGCAAGAATGTGACCAAAGTCTGGGTGCCTGGTCCAGTTCCTCAGCTGAGAAGCAAGGTCCTGCCCTCCTCAGGAAAGCCTACAAGAGCACGGCTCTCACTCCCTCAAGGCTTGTGAGGACTTCTGAAGATGAATATAGTGACCTGGGAATTTGAAAAGACACCAGCTACCACATCCAAACAGCAAAATTAAAGCCTCTTATAAAATTGGTGACCAATCTTGTTTTGGCTAAGAAGCAATAAAATGTAACACAGTAGTGTGGAATAATCTTTTTATGCACTGTGAGGATGTGTCATTCTGATTGGCTTAATAAAAAAATTGAATGGCTGATAGCCAGGCAGGATTTTCAGGCACAGAGGACTCTGGGAAGAAGAAAGGTGGAGTCTCCAGGAGATGCAGAGGGCGCAAGACATGTTGGAGGCCAGGTAAAGCCACAAGTCATGTGGCAATATATAGATTAATAGAAATAGATTAATTTAGGTTATAAGAGTTAGTTAGAAACAAGCCTAAGCCATCGGCCAGGTTTTCATAATTAAAAATCTCCGTGTCCCTATAGGGGAACTGATAGTCCCGACAAAAAAAGTCCAACTACACCTTGGGTTCAATATCCAGCAGCCTTCTCAAAAAATCTTGTTTGAAAGGAAAAAGCCCACCCACTAACTTGCTCTGGGGTTTGGTACCCTTGCCACGATATCCAGGTGGAGACAACTGGATGGATGAAACATCATTTCCTAAGGGCTTAAACTCACTTCATTAGCCAAATAGAAAGCAAGGTTGTTGTTTAAAAAAAAAAAAAAAATCAATGAATCCATTTTTGGCTCTTTTTTTTTTTGACTGAAAAAGATACAAAAGTACAATGATAAACCTGCTGTTTACAGACTCTGAGTTCAATATTTAGCTGAAACGTAACTATTTACACTTAAGCCTCCTGAAGTAAATCTACTTTAACACACACACACACACCTGGGTCCTGGTGCAAGAACAGAGGTTCTGGTGGGCTCAGAGCTCAGGGGCTAGGCTGAGTGCCCAAGGTGATGCAAGCGAAGACTGAGGCTCAGCACCAGTCAAGAAGCAGGCCTAGGGGACTCCAGCCCGAAGTATCCAGAGTAAGCTCAGAGGAGAGCTGAAGTCCCTAGGGGCTACACGTGACCAGCCTCACTCCCACTAGTCTCTCCTGTTCCAGATCCCCTCCCCAGCGGTCCCCACTTGTCACCTTCCACCCCGAACCCCACCACACTGAGGTCCACCAGGCCCTTCAGTTTAGGCCCCGCCCCCAAATCCGCACCAAGGAAGGCCCACCCCCTTCCTGCCCAGGCCCCGCCCACACTCACGTAGCGGCTGCACATGGCCACTGCGAGGTTGCGTAGATGCGGCGTTGCTCCCACCCACAGGAAAAGCGAGTCTGTCAGCCGCATGACGTGGAAGTGGACGAGCTGCTCCCAGAGCCTTGCGCTGAAGTTGTGAAGCGACACGTCCCCGCTCGCGGCGCCCTGCGGCTCTGCCATCCCGCCCGCCCGCCACTCGAGCCGCAGCACGGACCCCAGCCAGGCGCGGGCGGCCAGACCAGAGAGAGCGAGCGCCGAGAGGCCCGAAGCGCTTTCACTTTCAGTTGCGCGCGCCGGGGTGGGGCGGGGCGAACGTGAGGGGGCGGGGCCTAGGAGATGCCTTTGGCCTGCTCTAGACCTAGTACCTGGACAAAGGTGCAGCTGTGAAAAAACCCTGCCTCAGCTAGGTGTCTGATGGTGACTCTGGGGACCCTCTGAACGCCCCTGTCATTTCCCTTCTCCCCAGTGGACCGTGTTAGTGGGCTGTTTGCGCAGACATTCACTCTGAGCGCTTTAGCAGCCGCCACCTCCCACTATCTCCTGGCTGCAAGCCTTGGATGTAGACAGCCCTACTTAACAGCAGCGATCCCGAGAGACAACTTTAAAAAGGAACTGCATAGACTATGGCGGGAGAATGGGCTCTTCGGAGACAGGTGCACGCGTGTACACACACACACACACACACACACACACACAGTTGCCACCGTGTAAAACACGGCCCTTGTAGGATAAGAAGTGAGAAACGAGCGTGCGTGGGAAGCCCTATGGAGCATGGTGCTATGTCTGCCCAGGGACGTTTAATTTCAATCACTGGGACGCTGAAGTGTTTGGAATGAGACCCTCGGTGGGTTGAGAGAGGCATATAAACAAACCTTCCTGTCCAGTTTGCCAAGCTTTTTACTGCTGACTTGGAGTCTCTTGTACCTGTAGGAAATCTACTTAAATCTCCAGGAATTCTAAGTGGACTAAAATGAAGTTTAGGAGGGTGATGTGGTTTGAATATGGCTTGTGGCCCCTAGGATTCATTGGGAGTTGTTTTGGTTCCAATGGGAGATCATGGAATGATGGGAAGATAGGACCTGTCTGGAAGACCTAAGTCACTGAGGATAAGAAGGTGTTTCTCTAGTAGAGGTCCTGAAATAATATTATAAAAGCAACAAGCCCAACTGCACCCATCTCTTTCTGCCTACTCTTGACTCAGGCTGTGACCTCGACCCTGACTTGTCTTCCTCTGACTGCAGTTCACCATGAAGTCCTCACCATAACCCAGCATAATAAACATAATGTGTAGTGATATCTTCTCTGTGTTTTAACAAGTAAAGCTTGCCTGAAGATCAGAGCGCAAAGTTAAACCTCTGGCGGCCAGGCGGTGATGACTCACGCTGTTAATCCCAGTACTTACTGCACATATTTCAAATGTACAAATTAGGGGAGGGGAAGCTTGGAGGGAGTGGGGGATGGATGTGACCAATATACATTAAATACATGTATGAACTTTTTAAAAAAAACATACAAATTGAAGTTTTGGCATCTGTATAATCCATTAAACCACCACCTAAAATCTAGTAACCCTCCCAAATCCCAGTATAATCACCCATTCCCCTGCTCACCCCTAGTCTACATTGTTGTTATAGGTTACTGGGAGTTTTCTAGAGTTTTATATGATTAAAATAAACCACATATTTGACTTTTCTCTTGCATCTTCTTCATTCAGTAGAATCATTTCAAGACCCTTCCAAGTGATTAGTGCTACACTCGTTTCTATTACTGAGCTGTGTTCTGTTGCCCGGAAACCACCATTTGTTTATCCATCCAGAGGCTGGTCACATGGGTTGTCTCGGTTGTTCTTGGCTTTACAGTAAAACTGACGCAGATATATGCATACAGCTAAGCTTCTGTGTGCTTTCATTTCTCATAGAAACAGTCTAGGAGGAGAATGGCTGCTTCCTACAGTTGTGTATTTGCACCTTTTAAGAACCTGCCTAAGTACTTCCCACTTGTTTCCCCATTCCCCTCAGCAGTGCCCAAGAGCTTGGATCCACCGCATGCTCACCAGGCAGCAAATGTGCAGTGCAGCCGTTCTTTTACTGGTAAGACAAAACCTGGTGCTGAATCTAGGTGTGGTGACATATGCCTTTAAGCATAGCATAGGCAAAGGCCGGTGGATCTCTATGAGTTTCCAGGCCAGCCATGCCTACATAGTTACATAGTGCAACTCTGTCTCAAAAAGGGAAGTAGGCAGGGGAAGGAAGGGAAGAAGAAGAAAAGGTAAAAGAGTTGACTAAATGCTTACCAAAGAAGATACAAGATGCTAAGCCTCTGCTCAGTCCACAGCACCGTAAATTCTGTGAGGATGGCGCTCTGATTTTCCATAGGGTTACATCCCAGTGAGCCCACTGTGGTACTATGAATGAGAATGACCCTCATAGGCTCATATGTCTGAATACTTGGTCCTCAGTTGGTGGAACCATTTGGGAAGGATTAGGTGTGGCTTTGTTGGAGATGTGTAAATGGAGGTAGGTGCTGAGGCTTCCTGGTATGCTGTCAGCCTCTGTCTGCAGTCTAAGATTTGAGCTCTCTGTTGATAAGCTAGCCACCTGCTACCTCCACTCCACCATTATTGTGGGATGTTTAGACACCTTGTGAAGGTGTATTGCTTTGATATAATAAAAAGCTTAATGGCCAATAGCTAGACAGGAAGTATAGGTGGAATTTCCAGGAGAGAAAGAAAGAGGAAGAGGAATCAGGCACATGGGAGACACCAGGAGACATGGATACAACAGGAGATACAAGATGGAAGAGAAGTAATGTCATGTGATAGAACATAGATGAATATAAATGGGTCAGTTTAAGTTATAAGAGCTAGTTAGAAATAAGCCTAAGCTAATGGCTGAGCTTTCATAGTTAACAAGAAATCTCCATGTCATTATTTGGGAGCTGGTGGTACAGAGAAAGCCTCGTTACACACCATCAAGGATAACAACTCTGAAACTATAATCCCCAAACAAACTCTTTCTTCTCTAAGTTGCCTTGTGTCTTATTACAGTAATGGAAATGTAACTAATATATCCATAGTAAGTAGAAAATGCTTGTGCCACACCTAACTTCAGCATTCCCATTTTGGGCCATAGCCTACTGTGGAGTGTCAGTAAGACCCCTGCATGGCTGACTGGGGTCTGCCTGGCTTCACCAGATAGGGAAAAACTACTTACTGCTATTTCAGGAAAATTCCAAATATGAAATTCCAAATACAGTGTCCACTAAATACATATCAGTGTCATACATTCATAGAGTTGAGAAATAAACAACCGAGTTAGAGGTTGTCTGTAGTGTACTCTAAACCTATCAATATGATAGTAAATGAACTTAAACAATCCTGCAGCCAATCGGAAAGCAGGAAGAGTGCCACCCACAGGCAACGAATTCTAGCACATTTTTGGAGCATTGAAAATCGACATAGAATCTCCTCTAATGAAACAGCAGGTGAGGAATCCACCAAGAATGGGGCAGAGACAGAAAAAGGAGCAGCAGAAGAAATGAATATGATTAAATGCATTGGATGCTTTATGGAAATGTCATAACAAAACTCCTCTGTGCTGTGGGAATCTAGCGGAGTCGCTGTATCAAGGTTAAACATTAGAACAGAATAGCCGTTTTCTAGAAGGACTTTGACCTTGAAGAAGTCATGGTGGAAATCAGTGATTGCTTTCTGTGATTTATAGAGTTGTTTTTCTGAAGCAGCGTTACAGCCTTTGCATGACTTTAGTCACAAGACAGCCCTGGCACCTCTGGAATGAAGCTCTTAGATTAATGGGTACTGCAAACAGTTCACAATAAAGACTGAAGGGGCACGAGTATGGTGTTTTCCTTCAGAAAAACATATAGATTAGATCAGGAACTTTGGTATGAGGAACTTGTTTACCCAAAAAACAATTTTGTGTGGCCATTACTAAACACACCTTTGAACAGGTATTCGAGGTTCAGTCCATCAGAGGCAGGACTTTCCTGCTGCCTCACAGGCCAAAAATTCATCTTAGGATGACTTCTTTCTTTGACTGACTCACCCAACACAGGGCACCCAACACTTTCGTATAAATAATATGCGCTAGAAAAAAAAACTCAAAACTTTGAAGGGAGCAGTGGGGATGAGGCTCAGCAGATAAAGTACGTGCCGTGAGAGCATGGAGACCTGAGTTCAGATCCCCGAACCCACAGAAAAGCCAAGGAAGCATGGCACCCCACTGCTGTCCCAGTGTTCCAGAGACAGGAGTTCTCTCCAAGGCAAACTGGCTACTTAGAAGTAGAGGTTTTGGTGAGCTCTGGGTTCAACCAGAGACCTTGCCTCAGTAAATAAAGTGGCTCATGTGCCTGATATGACAAGTGACAAAGATTACAGCATAAAGGCCACGCTGGCCTGATTTGGAGTGACTCTGATGGGCCATTGTAGCTCCTGAGCACCATGAGGTCAAGCTGAGGCATTTACCTTACCCACCAGAGACCATTATGAATCAGTAGTTCGCAGATCATGATTCACAGGTCACGATGGCTCAGTGTTAAGAGCACTGACTGCTCTTCCAGAGGTCTTGAGTTCAGTTCCCAGCATGGTGACTCACAGCCATCTAAAGTGGGATCTGATGCCTTCTTCTGGAAAAAAAAAAGTCGATAAAGCATTCATATACAGAAAATAAATAAATCTTAAAATAAAATTAAATAAATAAGTCAGCTAAAGTGGCCTCATGTCATTAAAATGTAATCAGTAATGGTTTTTTCAGTCCTTCCCCAAAAGGATCCCTGACTGCTCAGTGGAGCTTATAAGATCCAAACAACAATGGAATCCTACCAAGGGTCCACTCTGCCAAGGTTCCACTCTGTCTATTTTAGATCATTCCTCTACTCCCTCACAATTGAGATACATACACTTGGAAGCTGGCACAGTCCCCACACCAAGTGGAGAAAGCCAAATAGAGAACTCTAAAATTGTTATCACTTAACCACGATGAACAATATTACATCCAGAGGAGGAGGGTAGACATGAACCATCTTAAGAAGACCAAAGATGCAATAATGGTAGATCCTGCCACCTCTGGAGCAGAGACAGTGGGCAGGTCTGTGAGGGATTGTCTTGATCATTCTTTGCTGTAGTAGGGCCCAGTTCACTGTAGGAGGCACCATTCCTAGACAGATGTTCCCGAGCTGGATAAGAAAGCTGACTCAACATTACTATATGAGTGGGCCAAAGAACGAGCCAGAGAGCGAGCAAACAGGCAGTGTTCCTCCA